GCCCAGCTCCCCCGCAGGCGGCGACGCCCCCATTAAGCCCCGCCCCTCCAGCCCGCCGGCTCAGCCACACAAAGCGTCTCACCCCATCCCTCTCCTCAACCTGCCCGCTCCTCGGCCCCCCATCCTCCCCAACCCCCCGCCACAGAGACCCCTGCCTCAGGATCGCCTGCACCGGGGTGGGTTTCGCAGAGGGAAGCGGCCCGGCCCCCGTTTCACAGGTGGTCCCTTCCAGAAGAGGCCTTTCCTGCCGCCGCGCTACTGAAGTGGTCCTGAAGCTGAAAGAGAAGCTCCGCCTCTAACAGAGCAGTGTGTGTTAGCCCTGCTGGTATGAGCCCAGATATCTTCACTCTGCTGTTCAGCTGCAATTAAACCACTTTTCTTTTGTTTTTTAGGTTGTGTGTAAATATCTGATCAAGTCTTTATGCTTCCAGCGTGGCAGCCAATCATCTCTCACTGTTTCCTGAGGTTATCCCAGTGTGGAGTGATGTGTAACTCTTAATCTAGTTATTCCACTAAACATTAAAATAATCCTTTAGGTTTGCTGCAACAATAGGAAGAAACCAAACAGTTTAAGCAGAAATGAAACCAGACTTTTGTCTACCTGTGTGATTCTGGGGTGGATTTACCCGACTTACAGGGAAGAGACATCATAAAACAGAAGTTTTAATTCTTTATTTTGGGATTAGACTTGAAAAGAGGTGGAAAGGTGAAGTGAAGTCTTTGGAAATTGGGAATTAATGGGAATTAGGGATATTTTAAAAATAAAATTAACATTTTGTTTTGGCGCGGTAGTGCAGTGGTCAGTGCCGCGGTCTCATAATCCTAAAGCTGCAGGTTTGAGTCCAGGTCGTGTCAGGAAAGTTGGTTGTTTTGGTGACCCCTGAAACAACGAGCAGATGTAAGAAAAACATCATTTAAACCTGTATGGGATAAAACTTGTGCCAGCAGGAATTGTATTTGAAATGCTCAGATTGAATCTGAATGTGCGTAATTTGAAACTGAATGCATTGGTTTGAAAATAAATTTCACTAAATTGAAACTGAATTTAAAATTTTGAATTTGAATTAATTTTCTTTGAAACTGTATTTTGGTTTATTAAAAATTCAGTTTGACTACTTTCACTTTCAGTTCCATAA